AATGCCTACTATCACCACAGCTTTGCTGGGGACTTGAGGGTTGGCTTTTCCCAGGCTGTACCTCCGGTACAGTGCATCTGGGGCCGCCTTTGCCTTCTCTAAGGGGAGGGCATAAAGTGATGGATGCCCTTCTTCCACCAAGGTGCTCTTCTTGACCAATTCCTGTGTGAACTGCTTGGATTTGTCTGCCATTACTGTTGAAACACGAGTCTCCTCACTAGGGGCACTCTCTGCCCCGTCCATGCACACGGCAGTCACTTGGAATCGGTAAGGTGTCTGTGGGCTCAGGCCATCGACGTGACAGAACTGCGCTCTCCCCGTCCGACGTACCAGCCACTCGTCCTTCCCCTTGGGACCTCCGTCTCCAGCTTCCTTGTATTCTACCCTGTACTCCTTTATAATGGAGCCCTTGCCAATGATATCTGGGCTTTCCCAGGTGAGGGCAATGGTTGTCACACCCACAGCAATGGGCACAGGCATCCCTGGAGCACTAACGGGGCGTGTCTTGACCGTCCCCTTCATCTCTGAGGTCAAGCTCACACCTGGAGCACTCACTGACGCGTATCGGAACATATACTCGGTGTTTGGACGAAGCCCTGTTAATGTGAACATCTCTTGTTTGCTTTCTGTTTCCACACCCACCCACTTCTCCTCCGTTTCCTTCTTCTCCCCCTTTTCCTCCTCCTCCGTTTTCATCTTGTACTCTACTCGATAGCCAGTTATCCAAGCCTCTCCGAAGGCTGCTGGCTTGAAGGTGAGCTGCATGCGGTCATGCTTGATTTCGCCAATCAGGAGAGAGAGAGGTTCTACAGGAGGCTCAAAAGAAGGGCTGACCTCAATGCCTTTCGCATACAGATGGATGGTGACACCTGGATGCTCCTCATCATAGGCAGAGGTCACAGTATACCCGATCTTTCCGGATGCATTGGCTGTGGCAAATTTCAGGAAGGAGATGGAGTAATTCCATGCTTTTGTGTGAATATCTTTCTGCTGAAACCACAGCTTGGATGTGGCTTGCCCACTGACAGACCCGGCCAGGGCTGCGTCGTCCGGTTTCTTCATATGTTGGTTCTGAAGCCAGAGCTTTAAATTATCTAAGTATGGCTCCTTATTCCATAACGAGGTGAACGTAAAGGAGAGGACAAAGTCCAACTTGCGATCCAGGACAACACGCTGCAGCTGACTCTGAGAGGGCGTAAGTTTGATATCGCTGCGGTCCATGAGGAAGGAGTTCACATAAATCATCTCTTGCTCCTTCATATCCAGGAATGCATTGAGTTGCTGTGTATTGAATGGGGACTGCTGCATGCCAACTAAAATGTCCGCCAGGGCCTGCTCCTCTTTCCCCCCTGCACGGATGGAGGGCAAGATTCCTGCCAGCTCTTTCTGGAAAATCTGCCTGTGCTGCTTGCACATGGTTTTGAATTGCTGCAGTTTTGTCTTGATCTCAGGGAAGGTCGTGGCAATCCGGTTGCTCACCAGGTCATTGCAGCGCATGTCTACTTCTGCCAGTTGCTCCAGGGCCTCTTGGGCATCAAAGATCAGTTGAAGACTGATTTCACGGACCAGCTGAGCAGCTTTGGAGTCCAGCTTGGTCAGCGGGTACAGCCAAACTCTCACGGGCACGGCCTTCTCCCCATTTTCACCCAGCAGCTTGGGGAGCGTGGCATAAATTTTCATGGCATCCTCGTAAGTCACCGGATTGCTCTCAAGAGCAAAATCACCATGAAACTTGCAGCTGAATTGGTCAGCCCGGGCTTTCTCTTTGTCATCCATTTTGAGGGACCCTTTCCCTTCTATGGAGACCAGTGGTATCTTTTTGATCATAACCTGGAGCTCTCCCTGTATCTCCTGGATGTCCTCAGATGAAGACACTTGCTTGTCAAACACAAAGAAGGCCTGAGCCCCGTACAGCACAGCGGTGACCACGTGGGTGGCCGTGCCTTGGTCAAACACTGTACGGTAGGAGACGTTCTCTGGTCCTAAGTGGCTCATGCTCAGTTGCTCGTACCGAGTCGTAGTTGAGTACTGAAGTGTTGTCCTGGCCTGCTGCTTGGATTTCTTGGTGTCCTTAAAGTATTTTGCAGAACCACCAACTTCCACCAGCCCCCCAATGAAACTGGCCTTCAGTTCGGCTGAGACGCCCAGGGCTGAGGCTTTGTCCTCAATGGTGTCAGACGCAATGATCTCAAAATCTGTCTTGGGCTGTGGCCTCACATTTAAATCCTTTTTCAATTCTTCCGGACGCCACAATGTGACCCCTGGAAGAGAAGACACGAGCACAGGTCCTGTGAGTGGCAGGCACAGGCTCTTTCCACCAAACAGTAGCGAGGGAAGGAGATGAAGGAAATCTGCTAGGAATAGATTACCTCAACTCTGTCCCCCAATGGCCATTTTTGCCTCTGGTTTCTTACAGGATTTCGGAAAAGGCAGGTTTTGGTGAGTTGTTGGTTTTTCCCTCTCTCTCCTTTCTAAGAAGCAGTTCTTTGCTCTCTCTGGTTACACAGAGGCATGAGCAGATGTAGGGATTTGAAAAGGCCAGTGCAGCTGGTGTGGTGCTTCATCACATATAACCCGGTGCATATTTTTCTCCCGTTAAAAAGAAACTAGAAGCGTGGATAATTAGCTCATGGACCACGGCCATATTATTTACTTTAAAATCAGAGTAAAACAAAAATAAATAACTTAGATGTGCACTCATATGCTATATGATGCATTACATATAGAAACATCATAACTTGGCAAGTACAATCGAGGCATGTTGTTTCCCTTGTCCTGCCACGAACATTAAATGGATGTCTCTTTCAGATTCATAGAGCTAACTCCAGCCTTGCTGAGCGTCTTGATAGAGCATCCAGTGCTTCCCTGAAAGCTGTTTCCACACTCGCTAGCATGCTTTTTCACTAGACTTCAAAACAGTCTGCAGGGCTGTGAAATAGGAGCTACGTGACCAGGGGTAGCCAACAGACAGCAGAAATGCAGTGGAAAGGCTAGCCTGAGCAGCTGAACATCAAAGACAATTAACTCCCTCAGCACTATCTGACTAGAAACGCTGCTGCCATGCCAGGGAGCTGGTATTATGCTTGGGGTGGCACAGGGATCAAAGTGGGGTATGTGAGTGCACGCCCTGCATCCACCCCCGGATGAGGGAGTCTCCCAGAGGACAAGTGCTGTGGGTGAGGGCAATTCTGCAATGGGGCAGCCCCAGGAGAAAGTCACTGCAGGCAGAGTCATAAGGTGCTGGGGCAGAGCACTGGTGCCAGGCAGAGCACTGGTGCCAGGGCACGGGCTGCTCAGGGCTGTCTCTTGTAGCTGTCGGCTGTGCCCAGGCTTTGGAAGTTGGGCCACCCCAGTGGTGTTGGAAGCCCAATGACTTGTGCCTCCCCTCCCCTCCCCTCATCCTGCCCAAACCTGTGTTCCCTTGTGCCAGTCATTTTCTGAGCATGGCATTGCTGAGCCCATTGGCCCTTCCAGGCTATAGCTCCCTTTGGTTTTCACCTGGAGCACTGTGCACTGAGCTGGCATTGAAGACATGCATGGCAACTCCCTGTGACAGTCCTTCCCTCCCAGGGAACACTGCAACACTGAGGTCCCCTTGTGCGAAACCCCGGTGCTTGCCCAACCTGGCCTCAGCCTGCCAACCCCTTCATCTGCTCAAGTCCAAATTTCCTCTGCTGTAACAATCGTAGATGGGAAGTGGACTGCGAGGCCCAAGACAAGACACCAGCAGCTCCTTATGCCTCATCCCAGTGCTGCCTAGCTCTGACTCCTCCCTGCTCCTGCCACGGGCCAGAGGCTTTGCCCAAGTGCCTGCCACAGGATCAGACCTTTCCTGGGTAGCTGTGGGAGTGCACGCCCTGCATCCACCCCCGGATGAGGGAGTCTCCCAGAGGACAAGTGCTGTGGGTGAGGGCAATTCTGCAATGGGGCAGCCCCAGGAGAAAGTCACTGCAGGCAGAGTCATAAGGTGCTGGGGCAGAGCACTGGTGCCAGGCAGAGCACTGGTGCCAGGGCACGGGCTGCTCAGGGCTGTCTCTTGTAGCTGTCGGCTGTGCCCAGGCTTTGGAAGTTGGGCCACCCCAGTGGTGTTGGAAGCCCAATGACTTGTGCCTCCCCTCCCCTCCCCTCATCCTGCCCAAACCTGTGTTCCCTTGTGCCAGTCATTTGTTCCTGGGGATTGCTCCAGCATGATCACATCAGCCAGTGCAAGGGAAAAGCTCCGGATGCTGCATTGCAACTTGCCCACCTTAAGCAAGGTATTTCAGGGCAAAGGGGGAGCTCCATGAAATGTCTATGGTGGATCCTGAACCCAGGATAAGTAGGTCTGGTCTCTGCCTCAGTAGGGCAATCAGACCATCTTTTGCAAAAGGCTGATGAGTCTGCTGGAGCCCAGCTGCAGCTCCAGGCTTCTCCCTTTGCAGAAGTCTTAGCTTGGCATTGGGAAGGAAAGAGAAAAGCTCCGTGGTCTGAATGAAAGTTCAGGGGGAGCTTCTGAGGTGCTCAAGGAAGGATTTGAGGCTTTTTGGTAGCATGAGCAAAACTTCATGAAGCTGCGAGGGACACCCCAGCTAGCAGAGCTGACTTCTGAGACAGCCCCTCGGGTCTGGCAGCTCAGATCCAGGCAGGGGCAGGTATGACATGTTCAGCAAACAGCTGAGGCCATGGTCAAACCTGGAAAGTGCCTGGGGAAAGGCCTGGGGCTTGGGCAGCTGCAGTGCCTGGACTAGCAGAGGGAGCAGAAGCTGTAGCTCTGTATTGTAGCCTGCTGGATGCCCGGCCCTGGGGCACAGGTAGCTCTGCCCCCATGTGCGAGCTTTCCCTGTGAAGCTGGCCTTGGCCTCCTCTGCCACAGCAGGTGCAACAAGCCCCAGCGCAGCCTGGCCCCAGCGCTGCCCCATGCCAGGGGCACTCAGGACTCCCAGCAGCACTTGCTCTGCAGCACGGCACCTGCCCAGAGTGGGTGGAGAGAGGCCAGAAGGAGAGGATACCTCTACAACCACCAAGAGATGGGTGACCCTGCGATCCCAGCGGCCAGGCTGCATCTCCCAGCCCAGGACCCCAGAGCCCAGGAGCCCGCTCTGCACAGGGAGGTGGGCAGGAGGGTCTGGTGGCACCAGGGGGCACAGACTGCCTATTGCACACACAAGGCTCCCCTGTGCAGCCCCACACCCCACACACCTACGTCAGGGCACTAGCACCCCCATCCAGGCTCCTCTAGAGAGCAGCCCCAAGTTGTGTCCCCACCCAGCACCAAGAAAGTCACCCCCCCAAGACTGACTGCTGATGAGGCTGAGGGAAGGGACCTAGGACCCGTCCTGGGCACCCTGGCGAGTCACTGGGGCAGGTGCTGGCCCTTAATGATTTGCTCCTTCATGCTTCCAACTCGGCAGAGAGAAACAGGGCATTTTATCCACCCAGAGCCCTGTCCTGGCATGCAAGCAACTGTGGTGCTGAGGAGAAGCCCGAGACCCTCAGTCTTCCTGTCTGGAAACTGTAGCTTCCAGCCCTTCTGCTCTCAGGGCTAAGCCACGAGGGCTGCCTGCCAGCACAGACCAGAACCAGCGAACCACAAGCTCATGATTTCTCAAAAAAATCTTGCTTTTTAGCTCTTATCACTGCTCTGCACAGCAATTTGGGACAATTTCCAGGGACAGGACTCAGTCCCACAGATTCTCCCATGGAGCGTTACAGCAGATTTCCACCCTCCTCCTCCTCACCTGCCTCTGCACACTTGGGTGCAGTCAGAGCCAGTCAGAAATCAAGGCCTTCTTCTTTTCTCCCAGCCTGCAGATTGCTCCAACTTGGATGCTGTCCCCTCGGCCAGAAGCTGTCCAAGTGCTCTGAAATCGGTGTCAGTGCAAAACAGAAACTAAACTCTGAGCAGCTGTCGGGGGGAGCTGGGGCACTGGGCACTGGGCAGCATTTATAGGAAATCAGGGAGTTTCATGAGAAGTGCTTTTTCAGCATAGCAAACATTGCACCACACAGGAGAATGAACAGGGAAGCTTCACACAGACAGATGCACCCACACATCCCTGTAGCCTCCTCGCTGGTCCCGAAGTCCCGGCCTAATCCCTTAGTCAAAGAATCTCTCTTTGGAGAGGTCTTTAGTGCAGGCCAGAACATCATGGATCTCACTATTATTGGTGGGCAATTCCCACTTTCATTTAATAAAGTATTAAATATAACTCATTTGTTGAACTCAGGGCTGGCAGGGACCTTAGGGTCATCTAGTCCAGCTCTGTGTACGAATGCAGCATGCTGCTTGCTCCTAAACCAGCCTTGTGCAAGGCTTCTCCCGCCCCGTCTTGTAAACCTCCAGTGCAGGACATGCCCCCCCAGCCCTGGACAGTTAATTCCACTGACTGAGTTTGGTTCTAGGATAGGGGCTGGGTACAACCCCCCTTTCAGGAAAGGACTCACCTCCCCAGCCCCACCTCTGTCTCCAATCTCCCCAGGTGATGTGCAGCCGGATGCAGCACTGCTCTCCTCATTCTCTCCTCCGACCGGGCGGCCTCGTGCCTGGCTCCCAACCCTAGCTCACTTTGTGTGCACCGCTCTTGTAACCAGAGTCACCGCACAGTCACATGGACGAATGGTTTTTTTGTGACGCTGACTGTGCTGTAGCCCATGACTACTGCGCAGTAGCATCACGTGGCATGAAGTGAGATGCACTGCTACTGCACAGTAGTCTCCGGCTATGGCACAACGTCTCTGTTAATAAATAAACTGTTCTCCAGGACTGCTGGGGCTAGGGTTTGAGGTTCAGATGTAACCAGTTATTGTAGGTTGAGACTTCGAGCTATTGTCAGGGAGCAAGAGAATTTTTCTCAGCAGTGAATGCATCTACACATTCATTAATGCACCGTAGTTACTGCATATTAAGTTTAGTACTCATACAACCAAGTACTAAATCAATGCCCAGTAACAGGTGCTACTAATAGCCTAGTAGCCTAATACTGCTGCACAGTACCGTATTAGCACGGTTTTTGCTCTGCACGTTACTGTGCAGTAGAATTAGGCTATTGCTCAGCTAGCATCTCATGTCGACACACCCGATATGAGAGAGTTTAGAAGGGAGGAAAGATAGTGTGAAGACAAGTGAAGGGAGGAAATAAAAAAGGAAAAGTTTCAAGGTGAAATTTCAACCTGTTAGGACCAAAGCTACACACAATCAAACGTGAGCCCTTCTCTCTGAAACTTTCCCATTTGCCTTTCTCCTTTTCATTAGGCCTGTGCGAAGCAGCTAGTATTCGCTGCGGATTCAGATTCGGCCAATTCGGGGGACAGGGACTCGATTCAGTGATTTGAATCACTGTCCCAGTTCAATTTGGCTGGATCTGATTCAGAGATTTGGCAGCAGCTGAGTCTGCAAATCAGCCAGGCCAGGCCCATCCCCTGCCCCTTTCTCAGCCCGGCAATGGCTGCCCCAGGTCCCGGCACTTGTTAATAAAAAAACCCTGGTGCTCACCAGGTGCTGCTGAGTCGGAGGCGATCCCCGCTGCCTCCCACTGCCCCATGCTGTGTGGGGGGCTCTGCACAAACCCCCCGACCCCTCCCTCGCTCCCCCGGCCCTCCCACGGGTGCCCCACCTGGGCCAGCTCTGGCCCTTTAAGAAAAAAATGAACCAAAAGAACCCGGTGACTTACCGCTCCAGCCAGCAGTGGGTGATCCCCACTGCCCCCCATTGCCCCATGCCATGTGGGGGGCTCTGCACAAGCCTCCCAAGCCCCAAGGGTTGATTCCACCGACTGAATTTGGTTTAGGACATGGCCTGGATACCACCTCACTGAATGCCATGCCGGTGAAACACTTCACAAGCCACCCCGTGCAGGTCTCCTGACACCTCCCTGGGTCTCTCCTTCAGGAAAGGACTGGGGTTGGACCAGCTCCCCAGCCCCATGCCTGTCTCCCATCTGCCTAAGTGATGCGTCGCTGTGCTGGGGGAGGCCGGACGCAGCGCTGCTCTCCTCGTTCTCCCCTCTGAGCACGCGGCCTCGTGCCCGGCTCCCAACCCCAGCTCGCTTTCTATGCACCGCTCTCATAACACTGGGCCTTGGGAACCTGTCACACGTTACCTATATTATGCACTTCACTGGTTATTCACACAATAATTTTAGGCCAGCCACATGTGCAAAGTAATTATCCTACCACAAAAAATGGCTTTCCAGCTATAAAAAGAGCCAAGCAGCTACAAAGTCAGTGCTTGAAAAAGTGTAACAACTTTAGAGCTAGTTTCTGTCCAGCTTTCATTTGAACACGTGGCAGGGCCCTTGGTGACCTGGTGTGCTCTGGGCATCTCTGAGACCATCGCACTCATCTGACAGCTACCGAGTGTCAGGTCCTCCTGGGACTGATCCTTGTCTTGTTAAACTCCTGTTCCTCTCCAGCTCAGCTCACCTCTGACCAAAGCACGGATCTTTGAAAACTCTTGGCGCTCTGGTGTAGTGCCCGAAGACTGGAAAAAGGCCAATGTGGTGCCTATCTTCAAGAAAGGGAGGAAAGTGGATCCGGCTAACTATAGGCCCATCAGCCTGA